TGATGTTTACTTGTCTCCAATCTATGCTCCATCAGAGCATTACTAACTATTAATATTATAAAAAAAGTGTTCTTCATCTAAATGTGTAAGATATTCTACATACAGCTGTAGGTGTTTCAGAGTTGCCTCAAACCTATTTCAGTTTTTAGTTTTAGGTTTTTGCAACTCAGAAACAGGTTAAAAATCCTTTTACCCTTGGACCAATATTTACTTATGACAAGACTATTTCTTACTTAAACTTTTGTATCTAAGGACAAAATCCTGTTCCAACTAAATGGAACCCTCAAGACACCCATTTTAATAAATAATTAGTATTTTTGTATTTATTGCTATTTACAGATTAAACAAAATTTGATTCTGGTGGCACTTTTTTCTTTAGGCTGTATTAGAATGAAAGGCCTAATTCTTGCTACCAATTTACAATTTTTGCTGGTATAACAACTGGGTTATAGCATTTAGCAAACTAAGAAATAGTTTAGGTACATGTAGCTATTCAAATTCAGATCAGACTTTTGTTGCTAATGGTTTTTGTATAGTATTGGATATGCTCTTCGAGGAAGTACCAGCCGGAGCTTCTAGTACATAAAATAAATGCCCTGTTCTAATAAAATTGAGGGTCATTAAAGTAATGACCAGCTGTAAGTATTCCACAGCATGTCAACATTACCATTGTCACTGTAGTTGGTCCCAATGAAAGAAGCTAATAATTATTTTAAACTCAGTATACATGCACATGTAATATAGAAGGTTGATCTGGCTAGCCTGTAAAATAACTACACTGCTGTCTCTCATTGGGCAATTCCAGAAAATATCCATACCCAATCACGGACGGCTTCCATGTTTTAACCCCCCCTTGCCTTCGGAAATTCCAAAATGCTCTACCCCCCCATGCCCTCAGAATTCCATAGTCGTGAACCCCCCCTCCCCTTCAGAATTTCCGGTTTTTTTTGGAAGTACATTTTCGACTTAGCAACGCCTATAAGAACAAACGAACATGAATTTATGCCTCCTCAAGGCTGTGATCTAGCGGCGCCAGGTGACAAGCTTTACTCTTCAGTGACAAGAAAAACCTACGCTAGTTGCCAGGCCGTGCAAACTCCTTTTTAAGTCCGAATTTGGCTATAAAAATGAACACCACTTAAGGTAATTTTACTCTTCTTTGTTTTCTTGTGCTGTTTTGACGTTTACAAAGGAAAATAGCTCAAACAGACTGTTAAAATCTTTTGGCGGTCAAATATACCGTCGAGTCGTGTTGCGTCTTTTTATACGTCATGTAGTGCGCACGAAAAGCGTTCTAATCTGACAGGCGTTCCTTGGAAGTGAGGGACTGGTGCGAGTTTTTTACTGTCTATCGGACGGTTTCGGACGGGAGTAACAAGAAATTTGCAAGGGGTATTAAAAGATACTTTTTCAGTTTTTATTCACGTGACAAGAAATTCATCAAGGTAAATGTGAAACCAACGTTTTACTGTTCACTTCTATAAGTTATGAGCGTAAACACGTGTCTGATCTATCGATGCTTGTCTTCTGCTTCCGCGGTCATACGTTACTCTACACTTTCTACTCCAGAAATCCCACCTGTGGAATTCCCCCATACCTTCGGATTTCAAATCGTAAATACCCCCCCATGCCTTCAGAATTCCATAATCGTGAATCCCTCCTCCCCTTCGGAAATCCTTAAAGCCGTCCGTGGTATGGTATGGATATTTTCTGGAATCGCCCATTACTCTTTTCTTGAGTCATGTTGCAATCCTTTGCAAAATTCCATACTAAATCATGACAAAACGCAGGGTGTACCTAAATTTGTTTTGTTTTTTGTTCAAGCAGGTCATGCTCAGTTGCAATTGCTGTAATCGGTACACATGTACTGTGAAGTGGTGCCAGCAGAACTCAAAAGCCTGCAGTTAAGCAAATAGATTTAAAAGAAACATTTGTACATTAATTGGCCTTTTTAAGCTGCTGACTGGTACATTACTTGCAAACAATAGCCAAAGGATTCTAATGAAAAATTTATCACATCAACCAATTTGATCTACGTACCTGCCGCCAGAATTCTCAGGACAAATCAACACCATCAGGATTTGTACTGTTTATACAGATTTATCTTTTTCTAAAAAACAGTGTCATAAACAGAAAGTGATTAAAGGATTACTGTATTTGCAGAGCTACAAGTACATGTACCTGTAAGTATGACCACTCATAAATAATCTGGAATTTCTTTAAGAGCCTTGGATTAACTTATATTTTCTTGTCACAAAGCAAATTCAGGAGCATTATCTGGTGCCTCCTGCTCTGAGGAGAAGCCATTCCTCCTTTCTATTGTCATTGAGTAATGACAGGCTTACATGTGACTGTTTTAATTTTGCTTTACTGTTCAGCTTGGCAAAGAGGTTTTTACAGGCTAAGTTGTTGACTCCTCCATGTTAGAGGCCTCCTGCAAGCACTTTTCTCGAATTTGTCATCTCATTTGTCTGTATTGCCTTGCTCTGAAGACATGTACTCCACATTTATACAAGCTTTGAACTTACAACAATCCCTCTTCCAAATAGAGGTTGACTGGAAAAGGGTTGTCTCTTTAGCTTTTTCTGGAACAAACAGAAATTATACATAATTGAGACCATTAATATCGAAACTAAAGCTGTAGATAGTTGTCATGAAAAATACTATTGTCCTTTTCGGTCTAAAATTAATATCCTAGCCTTTTATAGCATAAAGGTTGCTATTAGATATTACATGTATTATTACTGGCTGCAGTCACACTAGGTGACTAAACTTACTTATTTCCTGAGTTAACTGATATCAAAATTAACTAGTTTAAACAAATTGCTGGCTTGTAACTTTCATGTCTCAAATCTAACCCCAAGCGGTCATCATAATCCTGATTACACTGTACTTGTTAAAACTAAGACCGTCTTTGAGCAAAAACAATACGAAAAAATGAATACGAGAAACCCTTTTGTAACAAGAGTCAGACAACTGACTCCAGGTAAATCATTGTATTAATTTTATAGTGAGTGTTCCAATACATCACTACCATAACAACATTATTGACATATTACTTTCTCATTATTCTCATTATTATTATTATTATTATTATTATTTATAATATTATTATTTATTTTCGATTTTTTATCTTTATTTTGTTTTGCAAAAGCATGTGTTAGATTGTTTTAATCAAGGTCTGAATTCTCCCATCTGTGTTTATCCCGATGAAGATAAAAGAAGAGACAGTCACCACAAAATTTTGTTACACTTGCCTAGACTGTCGTCCTGATAGATCTGTCTGTTTCATAGGAGGTACATGTACATAAAAAGATTTTATCATTAAGGAAGTACATGTACATTGAAAAAACAAACAAACAAGCAAACAATAATAAAAAACAAGACAGAAGCACATCCTAAATTCCATTTTTACTCATAGTTGTATTTTCTTATTTTCTTCTTTCAGTATGTTGTATTTATTGTGGAGGGAACAGGTCTTCTCTTCATGCTTATTTTTCACATTGGACTTAAAGAACCCCCAAGAAGTTGTACATTCAGTGGACAAGTAGCAGTTAAAGGCAGTAAAAGAAGGGCAGACAATTGGATCCACTGGTTTAAAGAAATACAGTTTTATCAGGTTTGTAAAAAAACCAGCCTACATAAAGAATTAATGCTGCAAGAAAAAAGGCTGTTTAAACAAGACTGTTTTTGGCATGGTAACATAAGAAGTTATAATTTTTTTGGCATCGTAACATTATTTAGATTAAGGTTGCTAGCAATAATGAGTGAAGTATGGATCAGAGAAGAAAGAAAGAAAGGGATTCTAAACCCTTTACGTCTCTGGTAACCTCATAATTACAAACATTTCCATATGGGGCTTCTTTGGAAAGATGTGTGCAAGATATATTACATGTACTGTACTTCTTTTTAAAGCAATTTGAAAAAGATGGGACTTCTTAAATCAAATTTTCAGTTACAATCGGCGACAAAATTAGTTAGAGACACTTTTTACCCTTTTAGAAACGGCTTCTCTAACGTTTTGCAAACTTCAAAAAGAGAAAATACCGAAAATGACCTAATAAATGCCCACTTCCAAATAAACGCCTCCTATCTGTTAAACACCACCTCTATGCTGTTAAAATCGTATTAGACGCCCCCCTGAATTTGAATTACTCCAAAATACTAAGAATTACCAGAGAGGAGTGAACTCATTTGATTCATTCAGTTTCCTGCTTGATTATTAACGAGGCTTTGTATATTTCATCTTGTTCCATGTCATGTTCAAAGTAAGGATAGACTAATGATAGCAACACAATATCCCTGAGTGAAGATTCTGACATTGATGTCAGGATTTGACTGGACTGGTGTATTAATTGATGGAGTGCATTATATATATTCCGCTATTTTTAAACTCTCTTGATATTTTCACCGAAAGCATATTAGATTTGTTGAGCTTGTTACAGTTATGAGAATAAACGCCTCTCTCTAAACACCCCTGCTTGGACCCCTAGAATTAAATAGATGCCCTGGACATTTATTAGGTCAGTTACAGTAAAGCGTCCCTCCTCCAACCCCGCCCTCCATGCATTTTTGTGCCACTGTTTGAGCTAGCTGTGGCTTAACTTTGAATGAAGAGGAGAGGGCAGTGCTTGACACTAACGCTAGTCCACTATCCCAGGACTAGTGAAAATTCATGCTGGGCTAGTAAAAGTGTCCTCGTACTAGCCCTTAGACCAGTAGCTTACTGCAGTTTTTTTTCCGAAAACACTTTATCGGTAATTAATTTTTTAGCTTGAGTATCAAATGTAAACCAAAGGACTCACTGTTCTATAGCGGAGGTATTGTAGCTTAATATTGACACCATGTTCGTCATTTTAATCCTTCTATTTTTTTTTTCTTGGCAGGTGGCAGCTTTGTACATGTGTACTCGTCTCATTGTCAACATTACACAAGTTTACATTCCTATGTATACTTTGGAAACATTGTCTCTAAACAAGGTATAATTAATTTTTATCAGGGCTGCAAGCATGAGATTTCAAGTCCCTATGTAAATGCAATAAGTAGGCAGGGAATTAAACAGCTAGGAAATTCTTCTGGTTCTGTTTGTTAGGGTCATATATATGGTTGTATTCATAGCTGCTTGGGCAGGAAAAATCCCAGCCCTGGCCCTTATTGACAACCCTGTTATTAGTATTAACTAGTAATAATTGCAGATAAGGGAAGTGTGTTCGATTGGGGGAAGGAGGGGGGATGAGTGGTAGTCGTAAGGGGTGCAAAACGTGATGAGCTTGTAAGATAGAGAAATCAAAATCAAACACTTTATTAATACGAATATCAGCAGCTGTCCTCATCAGTGTTATTGTTTATCCTCCCACTTGACAACTCATAACTATTTCATTTTTCTAACAACCAGTTGTTTTAGGGAAGCCAAGAAGCGTCCTTAATTTTACACTTTTTCCCTGGTCTACATCTCCAACACTTTACTAAGGATCCTTGCTGACCCCAAAAATCAGTCATGGTCCTCAGATTTTCTTTTCACCTCAGTGGTATTGTCCCCAATGCCCCCACCACTATGGGAATCACCTTTTTGTCCTTACACCCCACATCTTTCAGATTTCTCTAGCGAGATCTTGATATTTTTCTACTTTCTCATCCTCTTTTGCTCTCATCATCATTATATTATTATTATTATTATTATTATTATTAATGCAGTGCGTAAGAAAGAAAAATATCTGAACTTGATCAACAAAATGAGTAGAAATTACAGATGTGTGAGATTTGTAAATCTCTTCATGAGTTCCCTTGGCGTTTTCTCCGTTGAATGCTTCTCATTCTTCGACATGATGAATGACATTGGCATTGACAAAAAGCAGCAGCGTTAATAGTCAAGAAAATGATAAATATAGCCATTAGAGCAACATATTACATCTTCTGTTGTAGAAATAGGAACTGGGATAACCCAGACTTAATGCAATTTTGATATATTTTGTTTTGGCTTTTGTTTTGCTTTGTTTTTTTTTCTTTTTAATAATCCAATCAAATGTAAATTGCCTATACGTAGCGAGATTTACAATTGCACATTCAAAAAAACAAATCAAGTTTCCATTATAAATCCATTGAAAAATTCAGATATTGTTTTTGTTATGTTTTAGTCCGATGCCAATTTATTGCGGTTTTCCCAAAACCTTCCATGTGTGTTTTGTTGTTGGTTCTAGGACACCATTGCCAAAATTCCCTTGGTTGTCTATGTTAGTGGTTTCCTTTCAACATTCCTAACCAAGCCACTAAACAAGTGCTATGGGAGAAAGGTAAATGCATACAATATGACTTGAAATACTTTTAATAATTTAAACTCTTGTACAAAAATAATGCTCATGAGCGGAGGTGATTGAGAAGCTGGTGGAGCTGAGAACTGCAGCCGAGTGCAATTCGTAACCATGACAACTCTGTGAATGGCATCCACCGAGGCACCATCACACTACTAATCAGTGGAAACTAATTAACATACTTATTTTATACTTACCAAGGAGAGAGCAGGGTGGCAAGCGAAAATACTAGAACCACATGCTGTGAGCAGCAACTTGAACATAACTGCCTGACTTCAACATAGAAACTGTAAAATCTCATCAGGCCCAGCTGTACATGTAGCCATTAGAGTGCCCCTGATAATCTCGTATGAGAGACTGCTGGCCATCTTTGTCTCCAGTTTATAAGCTAGCCTAAATTTGATCTGGCAACATTATACTAATTTCACGTGAATGAAAAGTCATTGTCCTGAAATGTAAGTTCATGAACCTTTAAGGAATGACTGTTTTTGGCCACAGAAAAGGTACGCCCCAACAGAAGGCACAAATTGTTAGGAAAGTCTTTCCTAACAATAAAATGTAAAACAGATAAGTTATTAAGACCGACTTGTTTTACAGTTTTGTATAGTCTATTTTAATAGTTAAACTAACAGTACACTTGATTTCAATCACTTTTGAGTGGTTGAAATCACTGGTAAAAACGTCCATAAACTAAATTGGAATCTTAGAAAGACTTAAAAGTATATGTTTCAACCTCAGTTAAGAAATATTATTTTTGTATCTTCTTTCAGGGAACATTTTTTCTAGGTCTTCTCTTAATTGCAGGGACAAGGTATGTCCGTCTTTTATCATTATAGAAAGTAGCCTTGACTGTGATCTGTTCTGTTGTAAATTATACAGGAAGAGTTCCTGTGAAGTGTCTGGGTAAACTCGTGCCCGCGTCATGCGTCTTTGAATCTCAACTTCGATGTCAAAATCCTTACTATGAACTTGACATAACTGAACAAGATGCAATGTGGACAATATTGTTAATCGAGCTAGAGACAGAATAACTTGAATTGATTTTTCTTTACCTCGCTTTTTCCTAGTAGCTTGTTTAGAGCATGCGGGACGGGGCGTGCCCGCGTCATGCATCACGCGGGGCGTCTTTTGGACAGGGTGGCCGGGGGGGGGGGCATTTATTAGAGAGGGGGGTGTAGTAGAAACTTAAAAGCGTGGGGTGGCGTGTTTATTAGACAAGACCCGTTGATTTTGATTCAAGAGAGCGCATCTATTTGATCATTGTCGGTTTATATGGCTTCCTGTGGTATCACACTGATCTTTTTGCTATATTTTCTTGTTTATCCACAGTTTATGGATGTGGTTTATTCCAAAGGGCTACCTCTTACAAACATATGGAGTATCAGTGCTGTTAGGTGTTGGTGGATCCACGCTTCTAGTTACTGCCCTGACAATGTTAGCAGATCTTATTGGGGAGAATGTGGTACGTGTGTTTGCCCGTTGAAGGCGTTGTGATAGGACGAGTAATAGGGAACTTAGATGAGTTACAGTTAAAACCCGCGATTAAGAACCTCGTTTTTTAGAACCTGTTATGCTAAGATTTGCCAGTTAGGCCCCCTCTATACAAGAACCTGTTAACCCTAAAATTTGAAACAGTTTCTTGTTTTCTAAAATCTATATTAAAATATTCTGTACACTTGGGCAAAGAAGATAAGTCAACATTCAGTATCCTCTTTGGAGAGGTGAGGGTCCTTATTACTCCAACTGCAATGTACATTGTAATGCACCGTCTGCAGGTTTACGTAAGGAATGAGCTGATTACCACTAAATACTCTTAGCTACAATGTATTCAATTCTTCAGGAAATAAGAACCTATTTAAGACCCTAAATAGCCTAAATTTGTGCTACTTACCATTTATGTAAGAATCTGTTTAGGCTAACTTGGGAAAATGCCAGGCTTCTAATCATAGTTTGTTTTCTCTCTCGTGTTGTTCATATCCTTAGCACTATCTAACTTTGTAGACTATCTCATGAATTTATGGGTAACGACCGAATCAAAGTGTTTTGAATTCAGCATGTTGCACATAAAATGTTCTAATATTGTTATTTCGGATTTGACAGGAAACAGGTGCCTTTGTGTATGGAGCCATGAGTTTTACCGATAAATTATCCAATGGAATCGCAGTTCAGCTGATCCAGATATTTCATCCTTGCAATTCTTTGGGAGAGTAAGTATATTTTTTTTGACAACTTGCCGTTGTTAGTGAAAGCGGGTGTATACTCATGTGACAATATAACTGTATAATAGTTTAGAGGACAAATCGTAAATTGTAGTCAGTTAGACAGTCCATTTACTTAGAAGACTTAGGCAGAGGAAGCTATGGTACATGAGACAACGTTGTACCCTTTTTTTGTGCAACAGAGTGAAAAGCAGTTTGTCGAATACTGTTTCCAACATTGTTCACAACACTTTTGCGATTTTTTTTTAACATTGTGTGCACGTTGAGCGCAGCATTGTCAACAACAGTTTGTACGTGTAATACTTTGCAGAACACTGCACATTTTTGAATTTTGCTCACATTTTGCGCAATACTGTAAACCACGGGTTGCAGACTATTATATACAATATAGTGCACAACATTTTTGCATAACTATGATTTGATTTGTGCGACACTGGATAACAATGCGTGCAAGGTTGAGCGTATCATTGTCAACATTGGCTTGCACAACATTGTGTTTAACGTTTTGCAAACGCTGCACAACATTGTGATAAACAGTTTGTATAACGTTGCGTGCAATGTAACGCATTGTGAATTCTGCTCACATTTTGCGCAACATTGTAAACCACAGGTTGCACATTACTATGTACAATATAGTATACAACATTTGTGCGACACTAAATAACCCTGTGTGCAAGGTTGAGCGTAACATTGTCGACAATGGCCTGTACAACGTTGTGTTTAACGTTTTGCAAACACTGCACAACATTGTGATAAACAGTTTGTATAACGCTGCGTGCAATGTAACGCATTGTGAATTCTGCTCACATTTTGCGCAACATTGTAAACCACAGGTTGCACATTACTATGTACAATATAGTATACAACATTTGTGCGACCCTAAATAACCCTGTGTGCAAGGTTGAGCGTAACATTGTCGACAATGGCCTGTACAACGTTGTGTTTAACGTTTTGCAAACACTGCACAACATTGTGATAAACAGTTTGTATAACGTCAAGTGCAACGTAATGCATTGTGAATTTTCCACAATATTTTGTGCAACATTATGAAAAACAGTTTGTTGCACAAATATGTGAGGTGCAGTGCCTTACGTTTGTGCAAAATTTTACATGTATAGCATTGGGAGAAACGTTGAGCTCAATATTGTCAAACGAGTGAACAATATAGTGCCAATAATTGTGCAACATTGTATAACGTTGGGCGTAACTTACTTTGTGCGCAACGCTGTCGCAAATCTGGTGTGCAAAGTTTGCACAAAAGACCGGCTACATACTTAACACTGCTTGAACGCAGCGCTGTAAGCAACGAAATCAATGTACAAAAATGCGCGAAAGACTCGTGTGCGTAGCATTTTGCACATCATTTGCATCATCATATGAAAAAGGGCATTAAATTTCGCGATTTAAGCGTTCTGCATTTCATTTATTTTTATAAAAAGTCTGGCCCTTTAAAAATTTCTTGATAAACTGGAACAAGCAATGTATGCAATCTTTGCAAACCAAAGCTATTTCATAACTGAAGATACAAAATGGAGCTTACCAGTAAAACCAGTTAGCAATTTGCTTATTTGTCAATACATATCCTGTATATGCTGTGCTATTACAAGTCAATTTTGATTTGAATTTCCTATTCAGGTATTAAATTTCGCGAGGAATTATTTTCGCGGGTCTTTGATTTCGCGATTTTTTTTACAATTACGAACAACGCGAAAATATAAAGGGTTTAGTTTTATCGTTTGTCTCACGATTATCACTTTGATATTGTTTCGACCGCACACTGCAGGTCTTTATCAGGCGATAGTGTCGATTTACTGAGTCGAACTATTTGTACCACCGTGGTTCTTAGTGATTGGTGTATCACAAACCTCGCTCATGGTTTGTGGGTTTCGATCCAAAGCGTTGTTGGCACTGTGAGAGGAAGAAACCGATCCTTCAGCGATCGGCTGTGGTAGAGATCGGTTGCCATGTTGTCTTATTGTAGGCATCCACGCGTAAGGAATTTCAATTCCACTGTCCCTGATGATGTCTTACGACAACGCGAAAATGGTACTAATAAGGTACATGCGGTCAACATGAAGCAACAAAAATGACTTCTTGGACCCGTTGGTGAGTGTCCGTCTTCGAGAGGTTTTCGTCTTATAGAGTCAAAGACCCTAAAAAGGCAGGGACCATTATTCAGTTGAATGAAATTGCTAGAACTGTATCTACGTGGGCTGACAATAATCGAATGTCACTTAACACAACCAAAACTAAATCTTTACTTATTACGACCCTGCAGAAACGCCGTACTTTATCCAGCTCGGCACTCAATGTCCAAATCGATGGTAGATCTATTGAGCAAGTGGACTATGCCAAGATGCTGGGCGTTATGATAGACAGTGACATGTCTTGGGAGCATCATATCGATACAATCTGCTGCATCATTAGCAGTAGGCTTTCTCTTCTCCGTCGCATCAAACCTTATCTTAACTTTGATTCTGCTTTAAGATTCTATAATTCTTGTGTTAACAACTACTTAATTTATTGTTCCGCTGCTTGGGGTAACTGTTCCCACCATCTCCTCTTACGACTGCTTCGTCTTCAGAAGCGTGCTGGGCGTATACTCCTTGATGCCGACCTCTCTCAGGCTTCTATTTCTTTATTTTTAAAACTTAACTGGATTCCCGTTTTTGATCTTATTAAATACAGGAAACTTTTTCTTCTTTTCATCGTACTCCTTAATCTGAATGCTCCTAAATGTCTCAGGAACAGATTTCAATTTCTTTGTGATTCGCGTGGACCTCTGGGCCGTTTTACAAGAGCCTCTCTCTACGAGTTAAAGGTGCCATGCCCACATAGCAACTCTGGGAAACGCACCTTGGCCTATACTGCTACTAAGCTTTTTAATGACCTCAGTTCCGACTTAAAAGAGTTTTCTATTTCTTCTTCTCCACTGATATTTAAATTTCTTCCCTCTTCTCTTAAGTCTAAATTACGAAGTCTGTTTTTCTCACGCCTATCATCGGCCGAGCACTTGGAGGATCTACTGTGCTCGACTTGCCGCTATTCTTTTCATTGTCACTGTTTTTCATTGTCCTACTACAACCACTATTATGTCTTTTTATTTATATTTATGTATATATGTATACATGTTCATTTATAGTACATATTTTGCCCCCCCTTCGTCGATTTATATATTATTCATTACGTGTTTATAGCCTATTCTACTTTAAATATTGTCTCTTTTGTGTATATATATATTTATAAATAATTTTATTTGTTTTTAGTCTTCTAAATTTATTTATCTATTTATCTATTTTTTTGAGGGCCGTAGGTTAGAAAACTGTAAAAGGTTATTGCGCGTCCCTCTTTAAATAAAGTTATTGTATTGTATGGCATTTTACTGTCGGGGTCCATGCATGAGACTTTTTTACTATACTTATTTAGCTGGATCTCATAGGAAATCAACGAGTAATGGCAGTATGCAATGCTGTATACAGAACTGATGTGGCTCCAGCTAAACGAATGGTGCTTTTAATGTTACTTGATCTTTCTTGCTTTTTCGTTTTCATCCCCGTAAAAGCAAAGTTAATGCCATGGGATGGAGATTAAGGAGCTCCTCGATCATGGCGTGAAACTCGTCTCTTGTCGCCACCTAAATTCTTTCCTTGATGAAAGGTTTCACCACAAAAGGATGAAAAACCATGCCCAACTCACACGTTCAGTTAAGGTTGATGCTGATAAAAACAACTGTCCGATGTGAATGTGTTGGCTTCGAATCTGAAAGTATTTAGTGTGCCACGCCTTGACCACGCATCGCTTGGTTTCCTTGGACAAGGAAACGTGACATTACACGTTGTTGTTGTTTCTACAGTGGCCATAATGGCACCTCGTCTCCGTGAAGTTATGACCCTGAGATTTTCCACCATTGAACTTTCCTAACATGGCGTTTTCTTGTAATGTCACGCAGTTTCGACACAAACGGAATCGATGATTGCTAAATGCCGTTGAAGATTCATACTGTCCGCTATGAATTAACGTCAACTTCAACTCTTGTAATGTCTTAGACTTTCGATTTCATCTATTCTTTCTTTCACATCATAGACAGCTCAGGTCAGGCCTCAGAGCTTAAAGGCTCTTGAACTAGGCAGGACAGGATAATAAGGATTATTGTTATTTTATTTAGTAATTATTTTTTTGTAATCTTGATGCTATTGATTCTGCTTGGCTGCACTTTGCTTGTAACCGCAAAACATACCTCACAGCTTCACAATATGCCTTCCTTTGCTATTTACTGATCGTTGCTGCTTTAACCGGCGCGTTTTTTGACTTCAATACATGTTGTATGTTGCTATTCTCATCCACTGATGTGGTTTCAGCCATGGAGGTATGCACAGTCCAGGGAGTGGAAACACCACAGCTTTGCCGACTGGAGTCGGTCATCATCATCATCCACACATGTACGAGTGTGAAATCAAAGCTCATTTTTACTTAATACTAGTTATTTTAATTTTTCCTCCGAACTTCCAGACCAGAATGATTTAGAACTGTAGTGTTGAAGGAATAGATCTATGAAATTGTTTCAAAACATTTTCAGGGGCGTAGCTATTTGTCCAAAAATAACCCTACGTACTATAAAAACAAAACGAAAATAGAGGAACATTGCAAAGAAAAAAAAGCGAGGTGAATTAAGCGGTTGCTGAAGAAAATGCGAAGGCTCTAACTGTGGCCTGCAAAACACGGTCCTACGTTAAATTTTGCGTTATGAATCCCATACTGATTCATAACGCAAAGAAAATCGAGTTACCCGCGTGAACACGATTTGGGAAACGTAGTTGGGGAAAATTTGGAACGATGTGCGTATTGCTAGAAAGTTTCCCGCTACACCCCTGAAAACTCGCAGTTGTCTTTTTTTAGGGACCGTTCATTTTTTTTATTAGGTAGCGGTTGGGTGGAATTTGAGGGGGGGGAGGGACATGAAAGAAATGTGCCTGACCAGGAGCATTAAATAAGCCACCCGTCTCTATTGAGCCCCCTCCCCCCCATCAAAAGTGCTTGGAAAAAATAAGCCCCCCGGAGGGCTTAATAGAGGATTTACGATTAATAGAGTTTTAAATAACAAAACTGGACCATTGTTTGAGAATTTAATTTATGAGAAGACGCGTTTAAACTTTTTATTAAGTAGCAAATAGCGTGACAATAATCCCTTTAATTATTCAAGGTCGATTTAATTAATTAGCTCGATGGTTCTTTTCAGAGCATGTTGCCCTAAATGTGATCTGTACTACAGAGAAGTTATGGTATTTGTTACCGGTGGAGCCACTATTATTTCTCTGCTGGTTCTTTTAACGATGCTTAAGACAAAGATTGGTGAATTTAAAGGTGAGTTTAAAGGTTAGTGAATTTTTCACCATTCACTGTAACTGAATTCATGCCAGTCCTTGGTGCAAACTTAAGAGTAGGCGAAGCATCGTGTGAAACTGAAAAGCAGTAATAACTCGTAACACTATTTTGTGGAAAGCGGTCAATATAACTTCAAGAATATAACGTAAACCTTTCAACCTTTTGCCGTGATTTCTAAGCTGCAGATGTCACTTTTGGAACGAGGAAACTGGGGCGAGTTATTTATCGCAAAGACTTCTGGGACTGTCACTAGGGACAGGGGAAAAAATTGACCAATCGCTGACCGATTCTAACGATCCCAGAACCAATAGTGGGACTCGTTTCGGTTCCAGTCCCATTCTCGTTTATAAAGTGGTGAATCGCTTTTAGACAAGTTTCCAGTGAAATTCAAGTGCTATTCGTTTGCATTCTCTGTTGAAAGGTTTTATCTGTGACAGTAGAATCAAACACAAGAGTGTATCTTTAATTTTAACTGCTAGAATATTCATCTGCCTTTCTAACCACGAAGGGTCCGCTGGTACTACCCGGCCATTTTAAAATCACCCGTAACTGATGGCGGTAATATTTCCTTCCTTGACTCTGAAATTGAAAAGGAGTTCACCTGTCGCCGTTCCTCGGCCGTTGATTGATTCTCAACAGTAGTAAGAGGCCAGTTAAGCGCCTTTTGCTTGTGAGGGTATTCTTCATCTAAGGCTCAACTTGTGAAACACGTTTAACGAAAAGCAATGTTTACTGTTTCCTCTGGCCTTTCTTTTTGTTATCATCCTGTGATTTTTCTGTACACTGGCTTTAGGGGATAAGAAATGTGCGTTTAGCCATCCCTCCCCTTCCTCTTCCCTCTCTTTACGTTTTTAACCGTTGCAGAATGACAGGTTATGAAATGGATGTTTAGAAAAATGCATGCTGAGGACCGCTTGCTCGATATTCTTACCTGTTTCCTAACTATTGCAATTTTTTATTGCAAGATGGCGCTGTGGTAGACGTGACCGTTCAAGATGCGCTCCTCAGTAAGACTGCCTCAGTTAGCACAAGCTACTCGAAGACAACTGGATCATCCAAAAGCCCGTGTCTAATGTATGAGCCCACGACCCCTCCCAAATACGGGTCATTGAATGGCACGTGTCAGAATATACCATGCTCAATACAAGAGGATTATTCTAGCTACGATGAGACCACGCCGTCGCCAAAAACGTCCCGGTGACGTTGTGAAGAAGCTGATAACCCTGGTTCTGTGCTGAATATGATGGGCAGTCAGGTATTTTCTCAGTTAACGATCCCCTGATATAGAAGCAGAAACTCAGTTTGCCCACCTATGAAAGGCGATTGTGGTTGAGCGAGGTGAACTAAAGACTGGATCTGTTCCATTGTCCACTCCTGCTGTAATGAAAGGATTTCTTGACTATACAAGCTCAGCTTGTCAGTCCGCTTTAAGAAAGGCGACTGTGTTTGAGCGAGATGAACCGAAGAACTGATCCACCGCCCTTTGATCCCGGAGGCCTTTTTCAACGAAATGCCAATAGCTGTTAAAACTGAGCGCTGGAAACGATCCCCTGATTGCAGAACTCACTTTGTCCGCCTTAGTATAAAGGCAACCACGTAGATTTTCCTAGTTGTTAGAACGCCGTTCTTAACAAGTAGCAAATAATTCTGAAAAGAAACGAAAATTTTTTATAGTATTGAAACGGAGAAATATAAATACTTGTTTTTAGCTGGTCTTGTTAACGGTCGTTCGATTGTCCGTTACCAAGAAAAGGCAAAGCAAGAGAGAAAACGAAGAAGGTAACAAATTTCATTTTGAAAAAAAAAAACTAAAACTAAAATAAAATGTATTGACAAGTAATCGTTAGCAAATAACGGTGCTTCGTGAAATAATTCATTTGAATCATTACACTTCACTATTTCATCCGTATACTGAAAAGCAAGAACAGCTTCGCGCGACAGTGTGCAAAAAGTGGAAGAATATTTTTTTTACCTCAAGGTGAAAAAGAAGACACTTTTCAAGGACATACTGAGCTGTTATCTATCGGAATTAAGTTGTCTCAGTCAGTGTTACTGAACATTGAAACTTGAATATTTAAATATTTTGAATTAAAGATATTTCCTGACAGAATGCTAAAATGTTAATTTATTTATACGTAAAAAATAATGGGGAACTGGAAAAAAAATTGTTTAGTTCACTAAATCAAAGAGAAATAGTATTAATTAGCTCTTTTGTCACGAGAATTGTAAGTGATAATGATAAAGACTTTCGTGAGACTACTTCAATGCTGTAAAATTTTATGTAAACATTTTAAAGAAATAAGCTACTTTTTGAATAAAATGAACTTGACGATCTCAATTTGCAAGCTTCCCTCACCTTATAACGTTGTACTGCAGCTTAGTGAGAAATACCTTAAAATGGCCACGGATAAGCAAGAATTGCAGACTGCATTATGATACCAATAATGTTGTGGAGTGTGGCCCTTTCTATATCGCAAATGGTGCAAGCGAAAATTAACTCTCACTGATTCCTTGTACTATGGCTGACGTTCATTGTCGGTTGAGATTCTAGTTTTTAAAATATATACTCATATTCCCTGTTCCACCATCTAAGCTTTGGTGTTACGCGGTTTTACATTTATATGTGCCCTCCATGGTCTCTTTGCCGCTATAGTCGACCATAATCACCGGCGAACTGCCTCTATCTGATTATCAGACCTTATAAATGAGTCGAAAGAACAACAGTACATCTAGCCCGGAGGTTCTTTGCTTAGTTTGCCTTTTGTGGTTCCCTGATTCCCCGGTTATACAATGGCTCAGCCTAGTTTCTAGGCGTTCTCGGCTCGACAACGGGGCAAGAGAGAACGCCTAGGGACTAGGCTGATAATGGCTGAAGCTGACTGGGAAGTTCCGGGATGATCTCTAGCTCTTACTACTCAGAGTTAATCGTGTCTTTCACAAATTGTCATTCCTGCACGAAGGAAACAGATTCGATCGGTTAACGACCAGTTTGCTTCAAAATAGCTTACTCAGTCTTCTCACTCTTCAACAAAGTGGCGATAGTGGTGAGATCAGTTGCGGACTTAGCAAGTAAAAAGAGCGCTGTTTCGACTGCAAAAGATTTCTGCGTAGTAATTGTCTGAACGCTCAGGAGCCGGTTTGAGATGATGCGCATGCGTTCCCAAGTTGTCAAACCAGTCGAACAGTTTGAAACGTTTGAAGTAGTTCCCCAAAGAAATCTTAGGAACTGAACTAACCAAAACTAATATAGGGGTCCAGTGAGACTTGAGTGTTAATTCGAAAGGCGGCAGAGAACCAAAAGAAACCCTCGCCGGCGGAGGAGACCTTTATGAGATGAAAGCCGAGATTAGCGCATTGTAGCTTGCAGTGTTGATGTTTTCGGGCACCCAAGCGCTCAGTTTTTAAAAGTAGAGGCGGATTCGGTTGGGAGAAATGAGAGGGGAGGGGGAGAAAAACTTTATGCAGTAAAAAACCAATGGGATTACAGTGCTCTCCAAACCCCCTCTCCCAACGGAAAACACCTGCACACGGGCCTTGAATGCACGTTCGTTATGTCAATCACTAGTTACTAGCTCTCGGTGAAAGGACCCTGGGAATGAGGTCTTCTCTGTACCGTAAAATAGACGCCGAATCCCAAATAAACGCTTCTTATCTAATAAACACCCCCTCTACGCTGTTAAAATTTTATTAGACGCCCTTCTCTAATAAACACTCCCGTCTAATAGACGCCCCCTATGAGAATTACTCCAGAATACAAGGAGTTAGAAAAAGCAGCAAAATCATTCAATTCATTCAGTTTCTTGCTTTATTAACGAGGCTTTGCGTATTTTATCCGGTTCAATGTTAAGTCGGTTGGTTTTTCATTTAGAGACGCTTTGTGGTTTTCGCAGTGATTTTGTTTATGCGAAGTTTTATGAGATCAATATTATAATTCGAACTTCTTGCTATTTTCACCGTCAAGTGTAATGATTCTGTTTGCTTTTCTTTCTTCTTTCCTTGTTTTCTTTTTTCTTTGTTAAGGACCAAATAGCTTCTTTTCAATTAAAGGAAATTGTTGTGTTTTTGAACTAAGTATTCCGTGTGTTACTCTAAAATCGAGATTTCTTATTTTAAGAAAAAAATTTAAAACAAATCATAGAATAAGATTTTGTTCTCGTAAATTCAAATCTACCTGTTTAAATTACAGAGAAAAGAGTTCTTATATCCTATGATTTTTTTTAAACTCTCGTAAAATAAGAAAACGTTTTCTTAAATTGAGAGATTCGGAGCAATCCCGATTTTAGAGTGTGTGCATTTATTTCATTGCGTGATTGCGACCGAGTTTGATTACTGAATTACAACCGGTTCAAAGTTATTCACTACTGCAAGCAGTTGATAGGTTGAACGTTTAACATGAATTTCGATCGAAAAGAGTAAAGCAATGCTGTATCCTGTAGATATTTCCACACGATATTTCTTCGTTTGCCCTTTGAAAATCGTGTTTTACTCTTTGCTTCTCAAACTCATTAATAATTCATTAAGAAAATACAAAGGAAATTAATGTTTAATGAGTGTTTGGAAATCGGATGAAACACTGCTTAGTATTTGCATCCTTAATTTCTCCTTCAAAAATGATTTTGTTTGAGAAGAAATATCAAACATTCGACACAGTGTTTCATCACCAGATGAAACACCTCGAAGTTCGTCAAAAATACTCCGCTGCGCGTCGTATTTTCAACTCTCTTCTCGGTGTTTCATCTGGTGATGAAACACTGCATCTCATGTTTGATATATTACATGAAGTAAAGCAAAGTAGTAGTGACGTCAATGGACGGCACTGACGGCCGGTCGATTCAGACGTCACTGAGGGAGCTAATAACGACTCGAAGTAATGGGATGAAATTCAGGCTAATAAAAAGGCTTCTTACAAAAAAAAACAACAAAATAATGATAAAGAAAAAACAGTAGGACACTAGGCCTATACATTACTTACTCTTTTCTCAAGTTTGACTCGTAGCAGGTGGTCAAACTATCAACGTTTTTGTGTTAAAACAAGAAAGCTTTTTTTCGTTTATTTACTATATCTTTATTAATTTTCTGGTCGCTTATTGTAGTAGGCAACTCGTGTTGATAATCATGTTTTCGTAGTGCCGCTAGCCTGAGATCCCTATTATCCTTCTATGTCTAGAGATAGTTATCTACCTTCAACTGAAAGACACACGATCCATTAGTAAAAGTAGCAAATAAAGATCATAAACGGAAGGACAGCATTTTTAAGTGTAACCGCCATTTTATTTTTGATTTTAATTTATTTATTTTCAATCTAAAGCGGCTTCATTTGACCAACAATTCTCATTACAAGAATTGCGCACTCCTTCCTTGCCCAAAATCGTTAGTTTTGATTTTTAATATATATGTCGTGTTATTTAATTTATTGAATGGCATTACAGCAAAGTGCTCTACTCTATCTGACTTTTGGGACGCAAGTCACCTAATTTGCTTTTTCTTGCAAAGGATAACTGGGGCCACCTTCCAATAACGTGTAACATCGCAAGGTAAGTCGTTCCACTTGCCTCCATGGCGGCGTGCCGAGCTAAACATGTTTCCACACTTTTCGCTCACGTTGTTTGGTTCGCCGCGTGCCCAAGCCGTGTAACCTTTCGCCAGTGGAGTGTCATCAATCCAGTAGAACTTGTTGTCCGCCTTGCGGACAAAACCAAGCCACACACCCGATTTGGTGATGGTTTTCTGTTTCTTGAGCAAGGCGAATATGAAGTTATTCTCAGCAGCTGATATTATTATAGCGAGGTCTCCTCCAAGCAGCTGACATGTTCGTCGAGCATCGCTCCATTTCGGGGTTCGAATGTCGATGATGAGGTAGCTGAAGTTGCCGTAGTAAACCCAACCATCTTGCGAACAAACTGAAAGGAAGAAAATTTTCCAGTTGATTAATAAGTCTCAGACATTAAGTCGCTCTAATAATAAGCCTCGAACAATTAGTCGCTCTTTTAATTAACTGAAAGTTTGATTCAATTGCAAGAGTTTATACCTTTAGCGCTTGTCGATTTCTGGTACAGCTGGTCAATTTTGTACTTCATCTCGGTGAGCAGTTTTCTATCAGATTTTTCTAGGCCCCAGTTGTTGATGTTAAATGTTTGATCGATCGGTTGAGGCTTTTTGTGAGCTGTAAGCGCGGGTGATTTGCTGGAGTCGAAACTTTTGGGTTTTCCATTGGTAAAACTGCTTGAAACAAGGATAAAAACAATGACGATGAAACTTGATTTTCCAAACATGGTTGACGTCCTCTCAGGTCCAAAACAGTATGTAGCCCGCCCCTCGAGAAATGAAAGTTTTTGTTGAGTTAGTCCACGTGATGAATCATCAGTATCTCCAGGCTGTCTTCAGGCGCATTGCGGCTGACGTATCACATGGAGGCTGTTTAAACAAGAACAAATTTCTCGTCGCATTATATCGAAATAATGATCATAATAAAAGAAAATTTAATAAGTTATGGCTATTTGAGTCAGTGGTAGACAATTGGTTTAATATGATCTAATATGATAAAGATATTGTAATGTGTCGGGGCGGTAAATTTCTCACATCTTGTGCTAAAAGTCCAAGAAATTGCCACGATGTTTACATGAAGTGGGGGACACAAAACAAAAGAAACCTACCCCACTAGACCGGGGTCCCCCACTCCATGTAAACAGGGTCTAAAAGTTGCCTTTGCCTCTAATAATGATCCATTGTTAGTATTTTTAGAAAAGAACGACTTGAACACTTAGTCATAGATTCGATACCCAAAATACTGTTCAGTAGTGTTCAACACATCGATCAAAAAAGTGTGAGACATCTATCAAATCTAACGGTTTTTCATTCTTCGCATTGAAGTTGGGTTGCTGTTTTGCATTCAGTAGTTGTGTACAGATTAACTACAAAGCAGTCATTCAGGGAAGACCGCATAAATTAAACTCGCATCGTTAGGTATAATAAGAAAGTCGATCCGTTGAGTCTTATGAATGTCACAGGGGCACCCAACGGCAATCTTCGGGAAAATATCTGTTCGGAAGACGATTTGAGAACTAGAATTTTCGGAACATTTGTTGTAAAATTTCTTGCTTGCCTGCCTCTCCTAGGATTTTCGAACATCTACAAAATGGTATAATTACCCATTTTATCGGATATTTACCCTAAAAAAGGCCACCTAGAATTTTCGGGAGCCTTTTCCTGGCTGAAATTTTCGAAAAGGTAAGTTTTGATCCCTATAATTTTCGGAACACTAGACTTTCAGCTAGGAAATCCGAACAGATGAAAAGTTTTTAGGGGATTAAAATATGCCTATATCTACCGTTTAAATACTAAAATACGTTCAACAATGCTATGTTAAGTGGTTTTGAACTATATCCTCGTTGGGTGCCCTTGAATGTCACATGAATTATTTTCTGTTATTGGTTTTACCTGTTGGGTACTGATGTAAAAAGGATGTATTTAATAAAGCTTACTGCAAGGGTAAAATTTGTCAAGCGGCAGTGATTGAAGTGATGTGTGTATCGAACAACCCGTGCAAATGTCACAATTCGCCTTTCATGCCCTGAAGTATAAAAAAGGCTGAATATTTTTGCATTGTAAAATCTATTCATTCAGGGCAATACGTCGGAGTAAAAATTTAGAGGAGAATGACTGTGATAGGAGAAAAAAGAAAGTATTCTTAATGTTCTCTGAAAGAAATCGAAATAGAAATGAAGTATCAGCTTATTTTTCTGTTGTGTCAGTATACTTTTCGTTATTCCGCCTTTTTGGCGAGTTATAAATTATTCGAGTCGCACTTCCAGTTATAGATTGCCTCTCTTATTTTGTTTATATTTAAAGCTGTTCGTTTTAAAATTTTAAAATCAAAACGGTTATAAAACCCCCTGGGAAGCAAAAAAGACCACACAAATACTGGGCAAGTCTTTGATTTCTTATGAAGTATACTCCGTTCGATTGTGCTATTTAGACACTCATAGAGGCTCGAGAGGTCGATAGGTTCATCGACAGTTCGTCCAATGTCAGTCCACATTTCCCGCGCAAAGTACCTTTTTAACCGTACAATAAGTGCATAATGAAAATGCAATCAAGATTTGATATCGTTAAAATGTAATATATTTAAAGTGATAATAGTACAAAATTGCACGAGAGATTGTTGTTACAATAAGAAGAAATTGTATCAAGTGGAAAATGTCGGAGTTAGCCGGCATAAGGGTCGACTTCTTCACCATCCACTCCCCATTTTCCATCTTCCTTTTTAACAGCCGTGAAAGACGCTGGTGTGTTTACGTCTGATTACGGGCTCAATAATGTGAATTGAGCCCGGAAAAGTTATTCACGATATATTCACCACATTCACACATCCCATAATGCACCTTGTTTACCCTACAAAATTTTAGAATAACCATTGTCTTGGGTTTCTCTTGGGACGACTGTAATATCCAGGAGAAATTGGAAATAATGGTTATGCAAAATTTGGGAGTAAAACAAGGTGCATTGTGGTCTATGTGAAAATGGTGAATTAGCCCAATACTGTTTATTAGATAGTCTGTTCCAGGTGTTCAGATCGTGGGGACAGAACAGGCTATTTTTAGACTGCATTGGCTCTGCTGACCAAGGCGTAGCCGCTGGGGGTTTTATGGTGACAGTCGAACAAGCCTCTTCCCTCCTCTCCAGTCAAGAAATCTACAAGTATTGCAGACAAAAAAACTTGTCCATTGCGAAAAACAAATAAACAAACAATCATGGTGTAACTTATTTCTTAGTTAAATAATTGACTGAGAGAAGATGTAGGATATGCCTTGTATGATTTTTAAAAAGAAAAAAAAAAGATCATTTTTCTCAAGTTTGATTTCGAAAGGCGTTTTCTTTTAGGCATGAAATTTGTCGCCTTAGTTTATGAGACTTGGTGACTTCTCTATAAAGCTTCATCAGTGATTGTCGCAGTGAAAATTTAGTAAAACGGTAAAAGGAAGCTGAAATAATGATTAGCTTTTAAACCAAGTGCAGTGAATACAAGTCGTGAATGTCGTATCTTTTGTATCGAACTGAGTAGGGTCTTTCCTATAATGAGATCTCTTGTAGCTAATTTTTTATCTCAAGTAGTTTTTGTTTTCCTTTTGTTTCTGGGTATGGTAATTTATGCTTAGAAAGTTGAAACAAAAGAAAAATATTAATTACCTGAGGTAAAGAATTAACTACAACATATCCGTGGCAGGATTTTTACCGGTAAACATTGTAGAATATTGTACATCGTAAAAGCGAATCAAGTTCGACGTCTGAATCAACCATCGAACTTTTATCATTTGAGTCGAGCCAAATAGCTATCAAGTTCGGCTCATGAAAAGTTCGGCATTTGAACTGGTCCTAAGCCCTCTTTCTCCCCAGCTACCGTGCGTTTATCGCGTCAGTTTTCGCGTTTTCGCGTTTTCTAGGAGAAGCCGGAAACAGGCTACTATATCCAACCCCCTCCCTTTTTCCTTTTCCCCCCATCCCTTTCGTTCGCTTCCTCGGAGGCTAACATAAATAGACCATATGACAGTAGATTTGCTAAATATTAAGAGTAGCAGCACCTAAATATGGAACCAAAATATAACAATGGCAAGGGCTACATCGAGGAAAACACGCACGAAGACCTCAGCAAGTGTTTTACTACATGTGAACACGAATAGAGTAAATTCCTTCAAAGCGCCAAAAAAAAAAGGTTGCAATATAGACATAAACAACCTAAACTAGACCGCAAAACGAAATGGAAGGAAACGAGAAAAAACGAGGCTGCTTACCAAATACTGAGGACATTTACAACGTTTGGAGTTCGGGGAAACGAGAAAAAACGAGGCTGCTTACCAGAGGACATTTACAACGTTTGGAGTTCGGGGAAACGAGAAAAAACGAGGCTGCTTACCAAATACTGAGGACGTTTACAACGTTTGGAGTTCGGGGAAAACGAGAAAAAAACTGACATAGATTAACGAACACTATAAAGACACGTTAAAAACACTGCCTTAAAAAGGGCGAGATAACAAACTATATACGACCAAATTTACACACGGCGCGAAAAGAAAGGAGAATAATTAGCAAATACCAGAGTGAGAAAAAAAAAACGAAGCACGATAGCGAGTAAGTAAAAACGAAAAACAAAAGGAAAATTTTGCTATAATACCTTTTTTACCTTGAACAGGAGTAACCAATACTTAATTTCTCTTCTTTATTGCCCTTTATTCTCTTATCAGTCTAATATAAGAATTCATTTCACCTTAATTTGAGTATTTCATATTTATACTATACTTTGAATCTTACGCTGCCTTATGGACGTAAGTCATTTAGTTATTTTTTTTTCTTGCAAAGAATAACAGGGGAAGACGTGAAATACGATGGACTGTTCTCACAGTATACGTCGTCCCATTTGCCCGCTCCGCCTCCTGTACCATACATGTGCGCGCACTTTTGGCTGACGCTATCAGGTTTTCCAGTTAACCAAGCCGTGTATCCGTTCGCCATAGGAGTGTCATCAATCCAGTAGAATTTAGTGTCGGCTTTGCGAACCAAACCGAGCCAAACACCCCAATTTGTGATTGTTTTCTGTTTTTTGATCAAGTCAAATATAAAGTTATTCTCAGCAGCGGATCTTACGATTGCAAGGTCTCCTCCAAGTATCTCACATGTTCGTCTAGCATCGCTCCATTTCAGAGTTGGAATGTCGATGACGAGGTAACTGAAGTTTCCGTAGTGAACCCATCCGTCTTGCGGACAAACTGAAAATTATTGGGTCATATTATAGATTATTCAGTTTATAGCGATAAAACAATAAGCCTCCTGAGTATCAGCCACTGTCCGATTTGAAAAACTAAAAGCCGACGGCTAATGCAACAGGGGTAACCAACGACTGTGTCCTGTAAAATATCTGTTCGGAGAAGCAAATATTGCCTAGAATTTTCTATTACTTGAGGACGACTAAAATATGTTCGTTAAATGTTCCATTCATGTACAATTTTCGAAGCTTATCTAATAAATCCCCTACGATTTTATCAAGTTTAATTTTCACACTTACTTCCCAAGTTAGGCTATTTTTATGAGAAAAAAGGA